TGTATAGCGCTAAATATCCTCATCTCATTATGCAATGGCAATTCTTATCACAGTATTGCGAGGTGTTATGCTCAAATGGAGGTGATGAGGTGAAAAGAGAATGGCTACCTACAGATTTCGTGGTACAGATTAGACTCAAATTGTAATCTTTGTAATCTGGAGCACTGAACACATTTATTTGGGAATAAGAAACTGAACCAGTTTGATCCAGTGGTGAAGGCACAAGGCTAGAAACCAGGGGACCATGAGTTTTAATCCTGTTTAGGTATGAAAGCCAGCTGGGTGACTTTGGGCCAAAGAGATTATGAGTTCCAGTCCAGTTTCACTACCAGCTGGGTAATCTTGGACCAGTCACTCTGTCTGAGTCCAACCCACCTTACAGGGTTGTTGTTATGGGGAAAATAAGAGGAAGATGTGCTGAATATGTTCACCACCTTGAGTAATTTGTATAAGGCAGGATATAAATAAAATAATAAATATCTAATAAATAAAAAAATCAATAGAAGCCCTAAATATATTGCACTGAATTTCTTGTGAGTTGCAACTGAATCAACGTGAACAAGCAAAATGCAACTTTGAAAAATCCATCCTATATTTATTTAAGAAAATTTATATGGCCACCCATCTCACTCTCGGTGACTCCAGGAGACTAACAAAGAAAAAAGCCCCATATAAAAGCTATAAAAAAAATACCTGTAACCCTCCACCCCCTGGTAACAACAAGGTCACAGAATTCATATCCCAAACTTTGCAAAAAGAAATAGTTGAGGGGAAGGCCACATTCTATTAAATGCAGTTTGCCTTAATAAACTAGAACTCTCTCATGTGACTCAAAGTTGGGAAAGTTAATTGTTGAATCCCTCCTCTCTGTCACATGGTATCACTCAACAGCTGCTCAAGGGAGCAATTCTCCAGGAGAAACAGAAATTTGGAAGCAAGGAAGCACTGAGACATAGTATGAAATAAAAGATTAATATCATGTTGAGTCCAGCGTGAGATATTTTCTAGGACTATGCACTGTTTCAGTTTTGAAGGGCAAGATGGAATTGGGAGCTTGCACGGAAGCACATGGTCTTATTAAGGATACTTCAGACCAAGCATGGCTTTTCCCAGGATCACATGTCAGGTGCACACACCCAGGGGAATAAAATGTGGCTGCTTGAAGGGGCTGAGCACAGACCCATGCAAACTCTGGATTAACTTTTTTTTTGTCTTTCGATCCAAAGCTTTGATCTTGACAGATGAATGCATGAGAGACCGTAACTTCAATACATCAGATACTCGTATTAACCCCAAAAGAAGACAATCTTGAACTGAAAATGATTCTCCTCAAAGAATAATATAAAAACAATAATAGAGAAACATATAAAAGAGACAAAAAAGACGAGTAGACAGGCACGAGACTGCACAGGAATTTATTTAGGCTTTTACTTGAAGTCTTTCTTCAAGAGCACCAACTGATCCCAAAACATTTGCGTAATAGCAAAAAAAATAAAGGGGAAGGGGTTTTGTGATATTTCAAAGTTCAAGGTTCAAGTGGAGAACAGTTTTGATAACCTCATTTGTGGTCAATGGCTCATGTAGTGGAATTTTTTTAAAGACGGGTCAATATCCTGAAATTCAGAACAATCTCCATTCAAGCTTGAATCACAGCAAAATCAATAGAAGAGTTTCATTAAAATGAAATATGGCTAGCCATTTACTGCCCCAAATTCATTTGCAAGAAAATCGGGATTTAGTGGTCTGTTCAATGGAGTTAATTCCAACTTCATGCACACAAAGAGGGGCAAAGATGAAAAAAATGCAGCGGTTGAAATTGTTGAAACAATGCTAGCTTGTCTTTCACATACAGAACCACATGCTTAAAAAAGGGTGACTGCGCTGTTTCATTCACCCAACTATCCCTGCAGAACTGACTTCCAAGCTTCTCGTAAGAAAAAAACCAAAGTCACTAAAAGGTATGTGCACAATGGCCAGATCCAGCAACCTCAATAATGGTTTGCAATCTAAAACATTTTGATATATAAATCACAACATTAACTTCCTTTATGATGCTATAAAATCTATTTGGGCAACTTGAAAGTAGAAATGATGATAACGAAAGCAGGATACATGAGCAATCACCAGAATTATTAGAGATGAGTATCAGATCACAAGTTGCTTAAATATATGGAGATTTAATCAAAGATGAGGTTGTATTGTACAGTCATAGCAGCCATTTTGACTTTTCCGACATCCTTGCTCCCCACCCCCACCCCGTCATGCCCCTTAAGGTTCTAGATTGCTTTTCAGTTCAAAATGGTAGAGCCAGGACATTTTTTGTCCTAGTTTAATTGTTTTAGGATTAATCTTGTCAAGTCTTTAAGAGATTTTCTCCTTCTACAGTACTAAAACTAACACACTGTAATAACTCTGAGGAGATACAAGATGAGTGGAGCCTTGGGTTTCCCCCTCTGAACTAAGCCAGAAAGCAGTTGACTGAGGGCAGTCATCATAGCTGGTGGCTGAGCCTGCCGCTACAGCTCGTTGAACAGACTTTATTAAAACAAATGGCAACTTAGAGTGGGAACCTCTATATTAACTGAAAGTGCCCAAATATAGTTTTTTTTCTGAAATTCACCAGTTAATAGGTTAGTAGTAATATAATGTGGGAAGAATCCAGAGAAAGAAATATTTGGGGGAATATTAAAAAGGCAGAATATATTTCCCCAAAGGAATAATGGAGAAAATCTTAAAAGAAGACAGAAACCAGCCCCAGCCTCTCTCTCCCAAGCAGAAAACTCAGCAGAGACCAGCTTTTAATAATAGTAATAATAATAATAATAATAATAATAATAATAATAATAATAATAGTAATAATAATAATAGAAAGACTGTGGCAAAAGCAAGCAAGGGTAGTACCAATAGTAATAGGCTCCTTGGGTGCAATCCCAAAACAACTGGAGCACCACTTGAACACCATTGGCATTGACAAATTCGCTATTAGTCAATTGCAAAAGGCGGCCTTATTAGGAACTGCTTCCATCCTGCGACGATATCTGTAATACCATCAAACATCCACATTTGCCTATCCCAGGTCCTGGGTAAGGACTCGATAGGTAGACAAAATGCCAAATCCAGTCTGAACATCTGGCTGACTGTGCGATGATTAATAATAATAATAATAATAATAATAATAATAATAATAATAATAATAATAATAATAATAATAATAATAATAAAGTTGGAAGGGACCTTGGAGGTCATCAAGTCCAACCCCCTGCTCAGGCAGGTAATCCTATACCATTTCGGACAAATGGCTGTCCAGTCTCTTCTTAAAAACCTCCAGTGTTGGAGCATTCACCGTTTAGAAATGTAAATTCAGTAATCCTTTCAGAAAGGTTTGAGCCTTCCAGCTAGAAACTGAAGAAATTAGGAAGACAAAGTCCCCTAAAATCTACATACCCCCACCCAAATTCTAAGGACAGGAAACATAATATTAACCCACCAATACAAAAAGGGCACACTCAGACTCAAGTCAAAGTACATGACACAGGAAATACAAAGCCTCAAACAGGAAGAACTCCAAACAAAAGCTCAAGGAGGTATAAAAACCCACCACTCCCAGCAACGTGTAGTCAGCTTTCTCAGAGCCATCTTTCTGTCTAGCTCTCCTCTTCAATAAACTGCAACCTTCTTTCTAAAGCAGTCTCCATTTTGTTTAGTCCCAGCTTGGACTGGACCCTGATGAAGATTTCTTTCAACAATATAATCGATTTCATTTTGAAGCACTGAAACATAAACTGATGTACAGTAGCTATGTCACGCTGTGCTAGTTTATTTAGGAGAAAGACTTATTCTTTTCTAAGGTGGACACACTTTCAACGACAGCCGCTGAAAAAAAGTCCAAAGGACTAAATCAATAGATTGAAATTGCTCATTGGTTACTTAACTACTCTCTTCCCTGTTATGCCAATATATTGTATTTTCTATTAAATTATGGTAACTTTTATATTTGCATATACCGTAGATATGTCAATCACCATATGCAGCTTTAAGGCAAACACTTGTGCCTTCTTTCAGTTTTCTTGTGGGCAATGCATTCACTCATTCAGGCACTGTGCTAGAACAGCGTTCAAAAGTGCATCTGCAAACTCTATGCACATCATAATAGTTATGATCCTGGCTCATAAAAGATACAACAAACCAGGATGGCTTTTGGTATATTAATCACCCTCTGCGAGAGGAAACCAACAGGTGCAGCTATATTGTATGCCTTATTCACAGTAAACCAGGATTTGCACGGCTTCCAAAACAGCATAAACAGGGATTACAAACCTCTCCTCACCTTTGACTAAAACAGGATCTCGTACTTCGGCTCCTTTATTTAAAGCAACCACAACGCTTCCTGTACACATCAGCAGAGATCGCTATCTTAAAAATCAACAACCCTCTCACTCAAAGAGCAGAATAAGACGGGCTACAGTTTGTAACGGGAACGGTGGATAATTCCGAGTTACTTTAGAACGGCTAAAATAATTTCTCCTAGGAGCTGAAAGCAGCAGGGGCGCTTTCATGTCTGCGGTGTTTCTGGTGTTTTAAAGTTCCTCCTTAAAATGTAGCAACAGGCTACAAGGGAAAAAAATAAAATAAAACTACTCTAAATCCTTGGGGCTGTCGCTTGTATGGCAGGCGAGCCCCAAGCAAGATGATTGTGTTTTTCTGTTTTGTTTTGTTATATAAAAAAAAACCCTGTCTTTGAAAAACTTTCCAATGCACAGAGCCCCAGCCTGGCATAGCGCACAAATCCCCCCCCCCTCACACACACACACACACACATAACCCAATGGCAAGAGACAAACCGCGCTGCATTTTAATCCCCCGCCGTTGCAACCCTGGAAGAGACCCGATTTCGCCTACACTACAGCAAAGGTTACCGACCATTTCACTCCGGGCGCGTCCCGTTTCGGAACCGAATACCCGAATACTCGATCTTCGGGAGGGGGGGGGGCAAAACTTACCGGCGTGGGAAGCCTGCCCTTCTTTGGCTCGGATGCCCGCTCGCCAAGTTCTTTCTTCCGCCTTTCCCGGAACCTCCCCAGCCACCTTTTGGAAACGGAGATGGGCGTATAAAAGGGAGGAGAAGGCACACCGGGGAGATTCGGACGACTTCGAGTGCCGAAAAAAGTCAGTTGGCTTCTAACTTGGCACCGCCCTCGGCTCGGGGGAAGCGGCTGCCTCTACAGGCCGACGGGAGGAAAAAGGCGTTCCCTCCGCCTCATCGCCGGGCAGGACAGATGTGGCGGAGGTAGCCCAGGAAAACCCGGCGGATGACTCAAGGGGCGCATTGTCCGCCGCTCCACGCACGCTCCGCGCTCTGGGGAAACTTCGCCCAGGCTTCCTGTTCCTCGCGTGGCCAACTGAGAAGTTTCAGTAGCACAGTACAGGTAGTCCTCGACTTGCAACAGTTCATTTAGTGACCGTTCGAAGTTACAACGGCACTGGGGAAAAAAAAGAGACTTTTGACCCCTTTTCACACTTTACAACCGTTGCCGCATCCCCGTGGTGTTACCTTCGTATGCTTGACAATTGGTACCTTCGTATGCTATGACGGTTGCAGCGTCCCGGGGTCATGGGATCGTCTTTTGCGATGTTCTGACAAGCAAAGTCAACAGGGAAGCCAGATTTGTTTAACAACCACCTTGCTAATTTAACAACAGCAGTGATTCATGTAACAAACATGGCCAGAAAAAAAAAAACGTAAAATGGGGCCAAACTCACTTAAGAAATTTGTCCCCTGGCAATATAATTCTGGGCTCAATTGTGGTCGTAAGTCGAGGACTAAAAATGATTCAGACTTGAGATGAACTGCGGTTCCTTTGGAAGGTTGGCTGAAAATTCTTTTTGAGGCTCCCAAATGGAAGGAATCTTTTCAGATTCCTTGTCTTGCAGATCAGTTTACATTGTGTTTGACAAAGGCGTTGCTTTAATGTATGCATTTCCCCACACATGCATACACACGCACACACACACACACCCTTGATGGACTAAATAAACTAAATCACTTGGCTGCATCTCCTACCAAAACAGCTAAGACAGAACCCAAACCAGCTCTTCAGGCAATCAAACCTCACAAGGTATTTACTGATGTAGCAGGTGGATAAGGAAATACATGCTGGCTCTGTCTCAAATTTTCTTTTCGTTACTCAGTTTGAGTCCCTGACCTTCCCATGTTGCGTGGCAGAATCTGAAGCAGGTTATTATTTATGTTTTGGGTTATTTTTTATTTGTAGTTACATGCCCTGATAAAGCTGGGTTTCTGGACATGTAGTCAGTTCGATTCATATTAGAGTGACTGTAGCAAACTCAAGAGTTTGAGTTTCACCTTTAAATATAAATAAATATTTTCCAGGCTGATGCATCCTGAACAGTTGAAATTTGGCTTCCATATAACTGTAGGTGAAGCTCATTTATGCAGAGGCCCCAAATCTATTTTCAGCTAGAGAAATCAGTAAAGGGATATGTAGAGCACTATAGAAAATGTGTCCACAAAATAATAATTATAAAATAAATAAATAAAAGGGAGTCAGTTTAGTGTATTTGTTAAGGTCAGGCTAGAAAGCCAGAGACTGTGTGTTCTAGTTCTTTTAGCCATGAAAGCCAGCTGGTTAATTTTGGACCAGCCACTCTCTCTCAGCCCAGCCCACCTCAAAGGATTGTTGTTGAGGAGGCAATGGAGAAGGAAGGTGTTTTTGATATGTTCGTCACCTTGAGTTGTTTATAAAAGTAATAAAAGTGGGATACAAATAAATAAAATGAAGAAAAAAACAATATTCTCCATCTGATTGGTATTCAGCCACTGACCTCATTGTCTTTACTATGTCCTTCCTGACAATTAAAACAATTCTGTTCCTTCTTTGTTTTTGTCTCCCAAGTAGTAAATGCTCTGATTTTTTTTGACTGAGAGTGCCAATTTCAGTCCATCTCAATTTTGCCAATGGTAAGGTATCAGTTTGTAATAGTATAATTTCCTTTTTCACGGAGTTGAGCTTTCCTGTGTTCATGCTTCTTACATTCCATATTCTCACTGGAATTCCATCTCTGCAGCATCAGTGTTCTTTTCCTGCCTGGCAATATCAGCAATGAACCATCTTGAAAGCTTTAATCTAGCCACATCATAACCCCAGTAGAACTCCAAAATGTTACTCCATAAAATGTTGAGTGTCATCCAACCTGTGGGGGCCATCGTTTGGCACTATATTGTCAATCATTTTATATTTTTTATCCATCCGGCAAAAATGCAGGCGTGATTAGCCAATGCCTTCTCTTGCGCAGTAGCAAAGCTGGCTGAGGAATTCTGGGAGTTGAAGTCCTCAAGGCTTATAGTAGTCAAGGTTGAGGACCCCTGTATTATATTACCATTGCCTGATATAGGTACACTCATAGCAAAAACTCTATCAGTCATTGTCCCTGTTGTATACTTCATTCGCGTGCGAATGATGAAGACACATAAACAACTCTTTATTCTCCTTCTAACAACACCCAAGCAAAAACAAAAGGCACACAAGCCTTTTTGTATGGCCAGAAACCCGGACAACGTCAACCAATGGAATAGAGCGTTTTCGCACCATGCGCATGCGCACAAGGCTGGCGCCGCTCTGTCTGGTCCCGGGCAGCTTTTGGAATGCCTGGGACCAATGCAACGTTCCGAGCCTGCTTTTGCAGGCTCAGGACACAACAGTCCCAAAGGTGCTTTCCTTTCTCCAAAAAGCACTTGGACAACCTTTTG